CAGTATGTGTAGAGCGTCGAACTGAACATTCTCGTCGGATGCCATCGAAACTTAACTTGATTTCCGGTGCGTGCAGGTGAGAGCAAAGCACTGCCAGCGTGCTGCGCGCGAAATGACGGAAAGAAATAAGCTGATTGCGCATTTTAACAGAAACGCTCCATATACAGGAATATTTGGATGAACAGCCGGGTATCTTACGGAAGAACATAGAAAGGTACGACAGCTCGTAGGATTGTGGCTTACCGTCTGAATCGCAGCTTGCTAAGTTCGCTCGTTCTGGAACGGGTACTGCGAGCGCACGTTGAGAAGCAGCTGCACTGCGCAGCTATCCAGTATTCTTGTGATAAGAACGATATTAAGAGGGTAGGAAATGAAGTAGGCGTAGATAGGACTGTTGCTCGATACAAGTTGAATGATCTGGAGCAAGGTGTAACTCACAGCCACAACCGCGATCATCGTATGCACGCGCCCATCAGCACGCGCACGAGAAAAATACACCTCCCGGACCGCATCCCGAGTACTCTTTTCTGGCCGTCTCTCGTTCTGCCATCGGTTCTCACCGCATTTTCTGCTGATTACTGTGCGTTGACAAATTGATTACGGCACCTCCAAAAGCAAGTTTTGCACGGCTCAAGGCCAAGGAGACATCCTCTGGCGCTATGGGAAAATCGGAGATAGAGTCATGGACAGCGTCCACTTCCAGTGCTGTAGACGACACTAACTCCGTTAACAATGGAACAGCTAGCACTCAGCTAGAATGGCGCAGAGAAGATGTCCTTGCAGACTGGTCGAGAGCGTTGGAGGCAGCACGCTGCCGGCTTCTGACGAGCAGCACCAAATCGCGTGTCCAATTCCTTCGTGAGGAGCTGATGGTCTTAGCAAAGCATGGAGGCGAGTAAGATATATTGTCGCTGTAGCGCGCTGATTGAAGGTGTCTCTTCCAGACCTTGACATCTCCCAGGCGATGGATATCTTTCGGTTACTCACGTTGACCTACCCTCGTTATGCCGACCCACAACCCCGAGAGGCTGTTGAGGAAGTGGGTCTGTAGCTCATACAGCGAGATGAACTTCGAGGGATTCCAGGGGGAGGTCCTGACGTGCCGAAGCTTGGAGTCGCTGAGCAGATTTTAAGATGGCTGTCTCAGGAGGTCGGGCATATTTCCAAGAGATCGAGGTTCGTTCTCGTTTGATCTTTTACGAGGTTCCTCGCCTCTCCATAGCTTTCATGCTTCCACATATATGTTCATTCTGCTCAGCTGGTGTTGCGGAATATATGTGTTCTGTCTCAAGAGCAACCCCGATTTCATATCTTCACTTTCGTGGACGCCGTTGGTTACCATCATTTCAGCCTTGCTGGACATCTTACTAGACAGATCGAGCGAGGTTGCAATGAAGCGATGGTGGAACTTGACTGGATGCGGGTGAAATCCCGCTGCTAGATCGTGCACATATCAGCGTCCACCCGACTGTGCAGCGAAGGAGGATGCGTACAGTAGTGTCTGCCGGCCATGGTGAATGCAGGACTCGAGGAGGATGTTTGTGCGTGTTGCGGCTTCTGCTTTTTCCGAAAAGGAAACGAAACGCGGCCGCCTGCTATATTTCTTCAAAGTTCAAAGCGCTCTCCCTCGCGTATTGCGACCAGTCGCGCCCCGTGCTCGCTATTAACTGCATACACGATGGCAAACGATGATCACACAGAACGGAATCCTCCCGTCGTAAAGTTTCGCGCGCCCGACAGGACGTTCAAGCGGGTATTAAAGGGTAAGTCGCGCTTTCCGCTCATGCCCAACCTGGATTCAGATCTTAAGGTCTGACGAGCCACAGACCGCTCGCTTAGTGAGATTATCGAGTCGGTGAGGGACAAGCTGCGGCTGCGTGACGAGACCATAACGCTCGCCTACGTGGAAGACGATACGAAGGTCGACCTAGAGGATGGTGAGTTATACCCTCCTTTTGTAGATACTCCGCCTAATCATGCACTCGTTTGTACAGACAGCGACTTTGAGGCTTTTCGCGCTACCGCACGACCAAACACAATCCTGAATGTGCTCGTCACCATAGGCCATCCGTCGCACCCCGTCGATCGCGTTCAGTATCGTCGCGAACAATCAGAGGATACCGTAAGCCTATTCATTACATCTTCTCGAACTTCTGCTATAGATGCAGTACAGGCACGTCCAAAGCGAAAACGAAGGCATCAACCTGTGGATTCATCAGTGAGTTGCATTCAATCGCCTGCATTGTTGATGATCTTCCACTTCTGCTCATGTGCAGGATGCAGAGGAGGATGAAAGACGCAGAGCGGTACCCGCAGAGGTGCTCCATAGAGACCACGCTACATCTCCACACACCGATCCATCTGCCGAGCCTCCGAAAAAGAAACGCAGAAAGGAGAAGAAGGATTCGAAGCACGCAAAGTCCACTGAACCCATCCCCCAACTCTCCGAGCTTGCTGGTAAGCACTGCGCATGGAGCTGGCCGATCACACCGTATAGCTCTCACATACTATAGATGCGATACCTCTGGCTTCCGAGCCTCCTGATGACAGCGCCGCGGCGGGTCCATCTACAACTAAGCCGAAACGGCGGCACAAGGACATTCCACGATCTTCAAGTAGCGAACCCGCACCTCATAAGAGCTCGCAGGACAAGTCGGCCTTGCGCGCAAGCAACGCTGGAGACGACGGTGAACCGGCGCAAACGGCCGAGCCTAGTAAACCACGGAAGCGCAAACGTACGCTGTCGCAAGGCTCTGACGCCGCTTCCCGTGAAGCATCCATCCTTGAGGAAGATGAGCCGGCTACAGGCAGTGTGCCTGTAGCCGGCCCATCTTCCTCGCCCTTGCAACCTGCCGACAAATCTCGCCCTTCCGCGCGACCGTCAGAGGAGATGGCGAAGCAGAAGAAGAAGAAGCGCACTGTCCCTGATGCTGAAGAAGGTAGCCGCGATACCCCTACACCCGCTCAGCCGGCCCCTCCTGAAGATTCAGCAACCGGCTCGCCTGCTAAGAAGAAACTGAAAAAGAAGGTCTCGATCGCGCTTTCTCTTGTGCAGAATGAAGACGAAGACGATATGCCAGAGACGAGCGGGAACGTTCGGGAGGAGCCTGTGAAGCAAAAGAAGGCCCAGACTCGTCGAACAGCTCGGACGGAAGAGAGCAGTACCGCGATGGCGCAGAAGGATACGCAGCTGGAAAAGAACACAGAGTCCGTCGAGGAAGTTTCATCCGAGACCGAGGCTGCTCCTACTTCGATCTCTCCCGCTGAGGCCAGTGCAAACCCAGAACAGCAAGAAAGTGCGATGAAGAGAAGACAGAAGAAGAAGAAGCAGACGGAGGAAGAGCAGCCTCCAGCCGTCCCCTCCGCTGTTCAGCCTCCTTTTGCTGCAAAACCCGACAAGCCGGCCAAGGCGAAGAAGACGAAGACACCAGCTGCAGCGGCGCAAGAAGAGCAACAGCCCGAGCCCGAGCCCGCTCCTGCCCCGGCTGCTCCACTTGCCACCCTAGAGGGCAAGTCTGACAAGCCGGCGAAGAAGACGAAAGAGCAGGGCGCACAGCAACAGCAGGCAGGCGATGTGTCTGACCCGCGCCCTACTGCCGGTATGTTCTACCGTGTTTACGTTTCTTGTACAGCTATAACCATATCGACGTTTTGTAGACGCCGCAACCACATCGCATGAGGCAGTTGAAACACAGTTGCCTGCTTCGAAGACCAAGGGGCGCAAGGGCAAGAAGGACACAGCATCTACTAAATCTGCTGAGGAGAAGGCAGCTCGCTCAAGTACGAGTCTCGTCTCGAGTAAACCGGATGTGATAGCCAAGCTGATCTTTGAGCAGCGTCTGATAATGATAACATGTGGGCGGATATCTTTAAAAAGGTGGAACAACGGCGTGTGGCATCCTCCGGTGCTGAGGTCAACAAGACGCCTGAGGTACAGCCTCGCGTCGTCAAGGGCAAGCAGAGCAAGTCCAAGCTGAGTGCGTCTAGGGTACCAGGGGATGATGCCGAGGCCAGAACAGTGGAACCGACTGTCGAGCGGGAGTCGCCATCGACTAGACCTGCGCTTCCTGTTCGGAGCAGTGAGAAGAGAATTCCCGTTGCACCCACGAGTGGGATAACTGTCGGAGGTAAGTTTTCGCGAAATGCTACTACTTCTCCGCCTCCAGACGCTGAGCGAACTGCCCCAGCTCTGCCCGTGAAACACCCCACGCCCGCTATTTCATTGCTGCGGACTGCTCTCTTTTCCTCCTCGCGGTCTGCTGTAGAATCGACTGGAACGAACGAGGCTGCAATCTCCGAAGACGTTCACTTGCCAGTGGGTTCACAACCCCATGCGGAGCTGTCCCACGCGAATGTTGCCGCGATCGAGACAGAGACCCGGTCAAAGCCGTCAAGCCTTGGCGTTTCTTCTGCTGCTGCTGAAGCGATCGCGGAGGTAACGGTCGAGGGCCAGGGAGAAAGCCGTAGCGACGAGAGCTCCAGCAGCGATGACGAGGATGAAGGCGATGGGGAGGCCGAGGCGGGGGTGAAGCGACCTTCGGATGTCACTGCGAGCTCGGTGAACTTGAAATCTGCTGCTCTTCCTCGAGGCCCTGTGTCGCGACGCAGCGTTCTTGACGAGATATCTTCGGAAAGCAGTAATGAAGGCGAGGATGAAGACTCTCAGGAGGACATCGATGTGGACGAGGAGGAGGAGGAGGAGGAGATGGGGCTTGACAAGCAAAAGCGCCGTCCGTCGCGAAAGAACAACCGGGCTATATTAAGTTCAAATGACGATGTGGACGCGAATTCCAACGACGGAGAGGAAGAAGTTGTGCCTCCAACATCCGTGGATGTTGGCCCTCAAGATACTGCTGTGAAACAGGCATGTTTGTATCGACTTGGATGCAGCGGGTTCTGGACAGCTGACATTGATCTGTAGGGTACCGTCGAAGATCCACTCAATCTGGACGGCATCTCAGTCAGAGATAAACCCGTTCCAGCGCCAGAAGGAAAGTCGGCAAGCTCTCAAGAGGGTGATAAATCCCGAATAAACTTGGCAGCTGGACGGGAGGGGCTTGAAGCTCGAAGCATGACGAAGAAGAGCGGCAAAGCTACATCTCAGAAAATCTCTGTATCGCAAGGCAGCAAACTTCCGGGGGAGTCATCTGCTCAAGGATCTGACCACGTTCAAAACAGCTCGGAGAGCGCGGACTCAGGGCCATTCGCTAAGCCACCCATTCAGCCCGACACCGATGATGTAGTCGGCTCTATCACGCTGGTGATTCCTGACCCGAGCCAGGCTAACATGGACATTGGAGACATCATCATGCCAGCAGATGACCTGCTAGAAGCCATCGATCACAGTATGCCGGATAACGTTTCAATCGAGCAGGATGCCGAGGAGTCGCGGCCGAGTACTTCGTCTCCGTACAGTTCACCTAGAAAGGGCACGCCGAAGCGCATGAAGGACCGTCGCGGGAGAACCCCGAAGGACAGCGAGCTGCCTGTCCTTGCCTCAGAGAACTTTGAGGAACTGGCTCAGTCAACGCCTGCGCGTGCCAGGAAGCCAGATTCATCGTTGCCTCAGCGCGATTCCGAGCCGATCGCTGCGCGAATTCGCAAGTCTGCCCGGAAGGCTGCATCGACGACGCGGAAGTCATTTCCGCTGGCGACACCCACTCCATCCACCGCGAAGCGACGGGGACGACTGCCGCTATCAAAAGATGGGAAAGCTCGAACAAAAGCGGGGAAAGAACAAGCCGCTGCCAAGAAAAGTGTTGCGGACGAGAAGATCAAGGAGGCGAAGAAGGCGAACCCGCGACAGAAAGCGTCTGCCGCGAAGAAGAGTGGCAAAGCCGTGAAGCCCGCTAGCGCATTCAAAGTTGTGACCAATACCGCCGCCGACGACGATCAACCCTCCGCCGATGATGGTCCAGCTACACCTCGCCCAACCACTCAAGATGTACAGCCCCCGGCTTGGACAACTTTGACACAGGGTGGGGACGAGCTTACTGTTGAACCAGAGTCACTGCTCGATGAGCTGGGGTCAAGCAGTCCCGCCCGCAGCGCATCTGGGACAGGCCTCCTTCCGGCGAAGAAATTATTTTCAGTTGAGATCGTGCGTAGCAAGACGAGCTCGCAACCCGCTGCTCAGGTCGCGGATGATCAGAATGCGTCTCAGTCTTCTCATGATGCAGCATCGGATGTGCATCCCGCAAGCCAGGAATCGAGGGATGCCGCTGAAGGTGACGCGCTCTTCCTACCGGACAATAGCCAGTATCAAACGCAGCAAAATACGCAGAATCCCATTTCTGCGAAAGGCATGATGCCAACCTCATTTCCATCCATTGGCTCTGACCCGGACGATGGCGCTTTTACCGTCACGAAGCGTCCGGCTGCGCGCTCAGGTCCATGGAATGCGAAAACACAGTTCCGCCGCTTGTCAAATGTGACGAGTCAGCAGCTTTTCCGTCCCTTGGACAGCAGCAGAGCGTCGTTGACGCTGGCCGTTGCCAACAAGAGTAGCATTACTGACCAGATCGAGGATGATGGCGACGATGAGGACGACGACGACTCGGATAATTCGGGGTCAGATTCGGACAAGGTAACAAAGTCTCATGTTCCGCAGGACAGGAGAGCAGGCACGGGCATTCAGAAAAAGAAGAAATCCGGACTTACATCTTTCACTATGTAAATCCTATCTAGCATTCTCATGATCTTGTCATAGTGCATTGGATCCATATAATTCGCTTATATATCCCATCAATGTACTGTAGCTTTTCACTTCATATCATTTGGAATATCGCTCAGAACGGACGAGGAGAACGCAATAGCGATGCTATGATGACGGCGTATAGTACGACGTGGAATTGCTGGTTTACAGACTGAGGAGCAATTGCATAGACCAAAAGCATTGAACAGAACCCGCAGATAAGTCTGTAACCTTGACATCCAAACCAGCATGATTCGAAAGAAAACGCGTCCTGTTCCACCACAAATGATGGACAACTTCACAAAACTATGCACCACATTCAAGGAAAGAATCCGTCCCATGGATTGTCCAGCCTGTGACCACCATGATTCCTCGCATTTGATGGGGCATATTTGGTCAGACTGGTCTCCCCAGCTGCGCCAGCAGCGGATCGCACGACAGACTTGATGGCGTACACCTCGATAGGCCGTTCTTTTACCACCGCGCGGCAAGACGGGCAAGTGTAGTCAGGATGATGCTGCAGAATGGCTATGCGGAGTTGTGACTCCAGCTCGATGCGCTGTTGGGCCGACAGGAAGGGGTCACGAAGAGCGATGCGGTATGCCTCCAAGTTCGGCATGTTGTGATGGGGGTGAGTGCTCATGTATTGTGCGAGTTGGCTACCGAACCACCCTTGCAG